GGGGCGGGCGCGGGGGGGGGGGGGGGGTTAGGCAGGCACACCATCGTTTGTAAGCCTCAGGCGAGGCGGTAGCATCCCGTCCTCGTTACCTTCTCCTTCAACCCTTTCCCCAGGTTCCTGGCGGCGCTGTCCAACTCCTCGCAACAGCTGGTGCCAGAGCTGTTTGTGTACGCCAGCAACTGCCTGCTGGTCATGAAGGCTGCCGTGGAGGTGAGGGGATGGGAGATTCAGTCCCCAGGGCAATGCATGACATACACCTGGGTGAATCAGCTGGGTAGCACCAGGTGGGTTGCCTCCCAGCAGGCGCGCTGGACCCCCCCTCCCCCCCACACACACATCCACACACCCTCCTTTCCAACAAACCCCACAGGCGCGACCCAACAGCATGCAGCCCCTGATCGGGCCGCTGCTGGCTGCCATGCACCGTGTCGCCAAGGACCACAACCAGCAGCCGGCGGCCGGCATCCTTGGCTCCAAGTCCTTCCCGCCCTCGTGAGTGATTCATCCTGGTGGGGTTGTGGGGAGCAGGGGCACGGTGTTCAGATCGAAGAAGCCGTGAGCTGTGGGTTGGGTGAGGTCCAGGATGGTCATGCAGGGGCTCCAGGCATCATGCTGGACCACACCACCTCCCAAGCAGCCTGACATCCTGCTAAATCCCATCCACCCCCAGCACGGAGCCGGCTGACTCGGAGTATGGCACCGGAGCCTGGTTCATGTGGCACGCTCTGGCAGGTGGGTGGCGGGCGGGTCTCGCAGGCTCTGGTCCTTGGGGGGTTGGCCATGGTCCTGAGTGGCTCATGTTTGGATGGGCTTCCTGCAGCCGGGCAAGCCGTGCCACCCAGCATGCAAGTCAAAACCTCGCATTCCTCTGGTTCGAAAACATGCCGCAGTCGCCGTGCCCTCTGCACTGGTGCTGTCGGCGGACTACAGGAAACACTTCCTCTCCACGCTTGTCATGCTCATCACCGGTGAGAGAATGGGTTGCGTGTGCGGCCGCGGGAGGGGCAGTCGGCAGTGCCAAAAGTGCTGGCGTGTCCTGAGCACGCGCGGCATGTTTGGCTCATCATCGACGCCGGCATGCACGTGAGCCTGCCCTGAGGAATTCTCATCCACCCACCCATCATGTGATGCAGGGCCATCGGTCCGCAATGGCCAGACTGCTGCCTGCATCATCTTTGCGGTGGTCAACCTCATGGAGGGCTGGCTGCTGCCACCGCCTACGACCGGACCGGGGTCTGCGGAGCCCCGGCCCCAGCCCCAGCTCACGTCCAAGGAGCCGCTGGTGTTCCTGCAGCGGCTGGCGCAGGCGAGTTGGCAGCAGTGGGCGGGACTGGGGGTTCGGGGCTTCATCTGTGCAGATGCTGTCCTCGAGCGGAGGGGTCTGTGTCATGTCTTACATGCGCCCCTGCCCTGCAACACCCAGATGGACCGGCTGCATGCCATCCCCGCCTCGCTCAAGTCCAAGTGGGACAAGAAGTTCCTGGATCTGCTGTACACGGTCATCACCGACAAGAAGGTAGATTGGTGCTCCTGGCCTTTTTTTTGGTTGGTCTGCATGCTCCAGTTTTCTCCATGCGGCATGCCGCGTGCTGCTTGATACCAAGGGCCAGCTGGCATCAGCGCTGTGTGGGCCTGCGAGGCAGGTTGGCTCCATGTTGGGGTCAGCACCCCCTGCATGAATGCCCTTGCATACATATTCCCCACCCACTCGCCTCCTGCAGGACACCAGCTTTGGGCTGGAGCTCTTTGTGCGCGTGGAACGCACCTTCTGCTGCGGCCTGCAGGCGTCAGACCCGGAGACGCGCGAGAAGGTCGGTGCTGCCGGTGTGGGGGGTGGATTGGGCTCGGCGGCACTGATTACAGCACACTTTTCATCCAAGAACAGGCTTCTGAAGCTTTTGCCTGTCGCCAGGTCTTGCTAGAATCAGGCCGGACTCCGTTTCTGCATCACACTCGTCACCTCCAACTTGTCCCCACGTGCCTCACCCGTCTCTAGACCTTGAGGCTTCTCATTGCCTCACCCCCCCCCCCCTTAAACCCCTCCCCACATGCAGTTCTTCAGGCTGTACGCCGAGCGCGTGCCGGCCGACCTCTTCGAGCGCCTGCGCTACGTCATCCAGGTGCAGGACTGGGACTTCCTGGCGCACACCTACTGGCTCAAGCACGGCGTGGCCCTGCTTTTCGACTGCGCGCACAAGGACGACGCCATCACGCTGGCCTACAACTCGGCCCACGTTCCCAGCCTGCTGGAGCCCAACTCCACGCTGCCCGGATCGGCCGCCGCAGCCGCCGCCGCCGGCACAGGGGGCACGGGCCCGAGCGGCGGCGGCGCGGCGGGGACGGGCGCCGGTGCGGGCGCCGCCGTCAAGCGCGAGCCGGGCGAGCAGGATGCCGCGGTCGGGACGCGGTCGGGCGAGGGCCCCGCCAGCCTCGCGGCCGACCCGGCCTCCCCAGTCGGCCCGGGCTCCGGCCCGTCGACCGCGATCGGCGCCAGCGAGATCGTCGGCGTCGTGGTCCCTGCAGGCGACGGCGCAGTCCCCGGTGCACAATCCGGGGATGCAGCGGCGCCGACTGCACGTGCCACACCTGCCGATGCCGCCGCCGCCTCCGCGCGTGCGCCCAGCCCGCCCGAGATGGACGTGGCCCTGCCGGAGGACCTGCGTGAGCTGCTGACGGAGCACCTGGAGTTCCTGGGCGCGCGCGGCGCGGTGCAGTCCGACCTGCTGGTCTCCTGCCTGTGCGAGGTGGTGCAAGGGGTTCCCGCGGCGGCCAACCACCTGTGGGGCCTGCTGTTCCCCATCGTCTGGACCAGCCTGGCCAAGGAGCAGCAGACGGCGCTGGCCAAGCCCATCATCCAGCTGCTGTCCAAGGAGCACCACGTGCGCCAGGTGGCGCTGAGGCCCACCGTGGGCCAGACGCTGCTGGAGGGCATCTCCATGTCCCAGCCCCAGCCCAAGATCCCGGCGGAGATGATCAAGTACATGGGTCGCCACTTCCACGCCTGGCAGACCGCCATCTCCATGCTGGAGTCGCACGTCACGCTGTTCCCCCAGGACATGCGCTGCTTCGACGCCGTCT